CGCTCTTAATAGGGAGCTCGGACTCCCAGTAGGGAGCTCGCTCTTAATAAGGAGCTCGGACTCACTAGGGAGCTCGCTCTTAATAGGGAGCTCGGGCTCCCAGTAGGGAGCTCGGGTTCCTATTAAGGAGCTCGGACCCTTAATAGGGAGCTCGCTCTTAATAGGGAACTCGGACTCCCAGTAGGGCGGTCTGGAGTTCGGACTCGGTAGTGAGCTTGGACTTGCTTCCGATGTTCGCTTCGGGCGCTCTACTATCCCGAGTTGTTTGCCTTTGCCACGTGTCGGGCGATTGCGAGGTCGGGCCAAATTTCCCTCATGATGGAATCTACATCTACGACTCATTGATCGCTTCCCTTTTTTGTTATTTTTTTTATTAAAATATTTTCTTATCACTTTTTTTCTTTAATTTATTTCTTTTTACAGATTATTTATTCCCTTATAAATGGAGGATATACTTTTCTTTTAAGTTTGGCAACATATTATTGCGTTTCTTTACTCGTTGCAACTTATATCATAATAGTGGGGCCGGAAGTCCTCATTCCTCGGCCTATTAGGGCCCAAAAAAAAAACAATTACCAAATCATGCTGGATGATGGAACTTATATAATGATGACATAATCACAATTCACAATGGATTTGGATCACGCCATGATATCGATCGATATTAATGGCCGGAACCGGAATGGTTGGTTGGCAGTTAAAAAGAACCGGACCAATTCATGGAATGTAGTAAGAGGAGGATAGAACCGCAATTTATGGTTATCGTTACTTGTAATAACACGGGCTCTAACCTTTCCTCTATCTTGAATCTTGAATATTTATGGGCCCTACTAATGGACCAACTTCTTTGAGCTTGCCAACTGTAACCCGTTTTTTCCTAATATAATATTATTTTTTTGATGACTAAATATTGAAATATAAATAGAGTCTGGTTGTTGAATTTGTAATTAAACCATTCAATTTGTCCAACCTTGTTGTTCGCTTCTCTGTTCTCTTCCCTTCCCTTCTTCTTCTGCTTCTTCTTCGTCGTCTTCGTACACTTAACACAAGACGAATCTCGAAGCGTAGTCCAGTCCTCCGAACCCGAAAACAGACTTCCACAACTCTGCCATTGGAAAAAGGCATATGGCAAATTCGCAGGATCCATCGTTGAAAAATCCAACTGTGTGTCCTCCTCCGGTGACCGCTCCACCAGATGACATCGAGAACCAGGAGACGCCAATGTTCGGAGTGTCGTCCATCATCCGGCGGTGGAGGAGAGAGGATTTACTGAATAAGGGCTCTACCATCCTCAGGACTTTGGGCCTGCTCTTCTCCTTGCTTTCTTTTATTGTCATGGGCAGTAACAAGCACGGCGATTGGATGCATTTCGATAGATTCGAAGAATACAGGTGATTGCTGTTATTATTTTCTTTTCTTTTTCTTTTTTTTTCATTAGCCCACAAATTCTTCAAATTGATCGCTATATTTAATATTTATATAACATTCAAATTGATGATCAAGCTGTGACCAAATTTTGGGTTTGGTGAGATTAATTAAAATTCCTTTTCTCTTATTTTTTCTCTGTATAACTTAACGAGCTCCAATCCAATTGAGCAGGTATTGCCTGGCCATATCAATTCTATCCACTCTATACACGGCAGCCCAAGTTCTACGCCAAATCCACCAGTTTTGGACCGGAAAAAACATAATTTCGCAGCGAATATCAAGATTTGTGGATTTCTTTGGCGATCAGGTGCACAATTTCTTCCCTTATTTTGGGAAAGAAAATACCTGTGTTTATTTCTTTAAACTTCTTTAGGATTTTGCGTTGATTTGGCTCAAATTACAATCCCTTCGAGAGGAAGATCTAACGAATTCATCCTTAATTAATTCGCAAGAATTGAAGCTTAATCTATTCGTCCAGAAAGGGGAGATCGATCTTGGAAATTGGGAAGTGGTCTCTATCCTCAACTAAAGGCGTAGTTTGTTACCGGCTGAAGTGGCTAAACTGAATGACTTTCGTCTTCAAATCAATAGGTCGTTCAGTTCAGCCACTTCAACCGTTATTCAAAGAGCCCCTAAGGCCAATGGAAAATAGAAGATCAACATAAGAGAAGGATCAGATTCCATTCAGATACACATGAGAAGACCACATGTATACTGGATAGCTATGGTTGTGGTCTGGGTCTATCAATCAATAACTAATTACAAGTGCTAATCACATTACTTAGAGCGGCACAAACCGAATAAACTATATTTATCCCTGGTTGAATGGGTGACTTCCACTTGGCAATGTCACAGTTGCCTACTTTCTTGCCTTGCCAAGTGGCAAACAGACTCAAATTTGGCAAATTTTGATCTCCAAAAGTTTATAGTTGTCACAATCTTGAGAAATATGCATTAGGGTTAGGGATGCATTTCTCTAGTGGATTGGTTAATCATCGTTATAATAAAGCACCTTCCATCCTTTCATCTTCCAAGCAGAAAGATGAGAGAAGAAAATTTCAATGTAAATTGTTGACAGTGTTCAGAATGACATAGTTATCATTTAACTATTGATCGACTTGAAGTTGAGCATGGGATGTGGATTATTGTGCAGGTTACTTCTTACCTGTTGATTTCATCAGCATCAGCAGCTATTCCATTAACAAACCAAATGAGGGAGGGGTCAGATAACATTTTCACAGACTCATCTGCAGCTTCTATTAGCATGTCTTTCTTGGCATTCGTAGCTCTGGCATTGTCTGCCACAATATCTGGATATAAGCTCTCAAATCAAAATAACATATATGCTTACTGATTTTTTTTTCTGCTACAAATGGATACATGAGCTGACTTTGTACAAACGGTTCCATTGTTCAGCCAAGCCAACACAAAGTTGGTGTGTTTGTCTCTGTTGTAAGTCGATTCACAAAATGATTCCCCACAATTTACCTCACTTCTCCCCTCTTTTTTCTCCTTTCTATGGGGTGGCTTTGGGCTATTTCATGATGATCGATAAACTCCATTGTCATCTACTGTGTTGATATGTACCTATTCTTTCAAGTGAAAAAAAAAAAACAGAACATTCATTTGCTCGCAATTCAAGTGCGAGGCTCTTGAATGTATTTGCCAACAATAAGCACTTATTTGAGCACTCCCAAATTTAGATGATTTAACTTCTTTTGGTGAAAGGCATGACATGGGAATTAGGTTAGGACTTCTCAGAATTTTGTTGTTACCTAATGACAAAAAAGATAGACTTGAAACTGTTAATCTTAAAAGCTTATGCTACTCGAATTGATCTAAAGCCTGTGGTAGATATGCATTTAAAAAAAAAAAAAACCTTTTCTCCTTTTAAAAGGGAGGAGGAAACAGTCACATTCACACAGTGGAAGGAAAGGCTATGCCTCCTTTTTGGATGAAGTGGCTTTAACATCCACCATGCATGATAAGAATGAGATAGGATTAGCTGAACGCTTTAGCTGTTCAGCAGGCTGTGGAACCAATAATAACACTTCACACTTATCATAACCATTCAACTTCTCAGTATGGGCTCCATGTATTATACCAATGGCATTAAGTATTATTATTGATTCCATGCCTGCTGAATAACTAAAGTGTTCAAATAATCCGAATTTGATACCAACCCCTCTTTAAAAGGAGTGTAAGCCACTCATTTTATGAAGGCTGTTTAGGAAAGTGATTGTTGGACCAGCATTTAGCCTTGAAGAAGTCAAGTGCTCTCCCTAAAACCCTACGGACATTAAGTTGGGAGTCTTGATCTCATACACTTAACTCCTAGTATGGCGTAGACTAACCAAATAATAATTTTCTCAAATGTGAGAATGGGCGAGTATATTATCAAAAGATATTAGGCCCCGTTTGGTTCATGGAAATAAGGGTCTAGAATCAGAATTGGAATGGACTATTTCAGTTTCAACTGTTTAGTTGGGTGGAATCAGAATCTCATTCTCATTTCTGCTAGAATTGCATTGCCCTTTTTGAGGGAATGGCCATTCCCTGCCCCTCTCTTGGAAACGAAATCCTATTCCTACAGATTCCAATTTTCATTCTAATTCCTGTCTGAACCAAACATATTATAGGAATGGATCATTTTGATTCCGATTCTGAAGGATTTCAATTCCGATTCTGATTCTGACTGCAAACCAAACAGACTCTCATATTTTGAGAGTATGACCAATCAAAACTATCCTGTGAATTTTGATTAATTTTCATTGGTTAGTGTATGCTTAAGCGCAAGGTGTGAAAGAACAAGAGATCTAAACCCGACATCTAGCTATTTTTTTGCATTATTGGAGGTTGAATTGTTTTCTCTTCATTAGCAATACAACCATGGATAAATGGGTCAACCTGTGACATTATCAATATAAAAATTTCAAAAAAAAAAAAAAATCCTTAACCCGTTGAACGCGTTAGATGTGTCAATGATTCAACAGTCCGAATTAAGAGGATTTTGTGAAATAAGGGATCAGAGGCTGAGTTGAACCGAGATTATGACTAAATCAACGATGGATTGAATTTGAATACACTGCCTTTTGGATAACGTTGACATGATCAACAATGCATTGAAAACTAGCTGGGTCAACAATCGGTTGAAAATATTGACCAGGCCAATGGGTTTATTTTTTGGTATTCAGCATTAACCCAAGTCCCAAGCCCAACCCAACATAACTCGCTCTGGGTTTAGGCTCAGCTTGGATCGGACCAGGTTTGGGTAGGATGGTTCGGTTTGGAAGAATAATTGATATATTTTTGTATAAAGCATCTTTTATTGACTTTATAATCTAATTTAAGAATAAAATGATTGAAAATATGTAAATATTTCATTAACAAATGTACATTTACATATATTATAAAGTAAATTTAACTAGAAAAAGATATTCTCATAAAAATAAAATGCATATATGCATTTATTTGTTTGGTTGGACTCGAGTCAAACTTAAGTTATTTGAGACCTCAACCTAAGCCCAACCCAAATTTAAATCGAGCCTGAATTTTTGGTCTAGGTCCAACTCAAAATCCTAAAATTTTTGGATTCAGGCTCAGATTAGGCCCACCCAAATTGCAGAGATAGATCATGGTACATGTGAGGTTCATTGACCTTACCATGGAATAATGGAATGCCAAGTGGCTGTCTCAGCTACTCGGTCATCGGGCTAAAACAACAGGCTTTTGTAATTGTCTTTTCATAACTTTGAAGCAGTGTTTTAAAAAATGATTCGGAAACGGAACCGTTTTGGTCACCGGTTTCTGGGTCAATGGTCTGATCGTCCGGTTAGAATGGACAGTTCATTCTGACAGGAAAATTTAAAAATAAAAAAAAATAATTAAAAAATAAAAAAATGGTCAAAAACCATTGATCAAATCGACGGTTCAACCGCCCAAGTCAACATTTTATTAAATTTTTCAATGATTTTTGACCAGATTCTGGATTTATGCAAAAACGGAATTAGTTGTCTGAACAGTTCTCGGGCCGAACGGTCCAACCGTCTGGATCAACGGCGGTTCGAAAACACTCCTTTAAAGAACTGGGGTGGGTGGTAAAATAAAAAACGGAGGGCTGATTCATTTGGTATATTAGCTGGTTTGTTCCACTAGAGTCTAAAGGCCTGTATATCCGAATTCCGATTATTCCGTGGATTGATCTCTAATTTTCAACCATGAGCTACCCAGCATCAGTTCCAACTTCCAAGTAATGTTATGTCTAGCACGCAACAATATGATCACATTCATGTCTGTGAAAAAGGATTATGTGATCGAGGAGGAAATCTCCAACTACATGTGATGTAGAACATTTGTGGTTACATTAGTGCGATGATTGTACTGTGTAGAATGTACCAAATCAACAAATCGATCGATCAGGATTTCTTCCTTACAGTCACAGGTCCGTTTGGTCCTCATGCCCACCTTATAACACTTTCCACGGATGCAATTTCCATGAACGGAAAACATATAAGTACACAGATGTGTAGCTTTTGGCATGCGCTTAATATTAATGAGTCAAGTGCTGTGAGTTGTGAGGAAATCCCACCTCCAAATCACTCAATCATGCATAGATAGATGTCTAGCTTTTGCCATGCGCTTAATATTAATGGGCATATACTATTATTGCTGTTTTAATTTCTTCGTAACTAGCATTGCACATTACTCTGTTTCATTCCTCTTCCTAGATATGACTAACCAAACCCATCATCAACCTGCGCCAAGTGCTTTGATGTAGGTGCATATGACAGGGCAAGGATGGCACCACGTGGCATTGGCCAAATGAAATTCTGGCCGTCCGTTGCTAATAACCTCCAACCAACTCCCAAGCAAGTTTAAATATAAACAAGTGTGTCACTCCCTAGGTAAGCTATTTTGGCTTTGGCTCTTTCCTACTCTCAAGCTCCTTAGCACTTGGGTGACCCCATCTGAATTCTCTCCTCAGGCCTCATCCGACCTTCCCTCCCCTTTTGAGCACTTAATTAATTTGACCGTTAGAGTCTCCACCCTTGTGATAACACCCGGGGCCTTTGACATGCTCTTTGATCATCAAATCGGACATTGCAGCCCTTGAATACATATCATTCAGATATCGAGAGGCTGGGCTTGATTACGATGAAACATTCAGTTCAATGGTTAAACCCACCACCATTAGAGTTGTTCTTTCTATTGCTATCTCTAGGGCTGTTCATGAATTGGGTCAAACCGATCAAACTGATCAATCCAACCTAACTCGATCCAAGTTGGTTGGTTTTGTTAACTTTTCGGTTGGCCTTGGTTTAAAGACATAAATAAGCTGACTGATCAGTTTGGGTCAGTTTTTGAATTGACAAACTGAGTTAAACTGACCTGAATGGTTGTATATAATAGGGATATATAATGTGTTATAGCCATTTAAAAAAAAAAGTCAATTCTTTCTTAAGTACTTTTACTAAGACATCACAAGACAATGACATGACCTACCAAGTTTTGTAGGTTTGCAATCCTAGGCCCTACCCCTAGGCCTATTTTTAGCAAATGCGTACAACTCTTTCATTGTTTAATTCTTTATCCCTTTTTCATTAAATTTGTAATTTGGTATTTGATTAAAATATTCAAATAATTTTTTATTATGAAAACAAATGTCAGAAAATTTGTAGCAATCATAATGTTTTCCCCTTTTCTTTTTTTATTTTCAATTTTTATGCCATTTCATACAAAACCCCAAGCTACAACCTATAAACAACAAAAATACAAGAAAAAAGTAGTCTCAGTTCGGTTAAAACCAACCTAACTGAGCATTCGACAACATTATTTTCAATCGGTTTAGGTTAGTTTTGGGTCGATTTTGGTTGGCTAATAAGCCAATCTGAGATGTTCGGTTTGGTTGCTAAAATATTATGTAACTTAATCGAACCGACCCGTAAATAGCCCTAGCTATTTCATTTGGTTGGAAACTCGTCAACTTGATGTTTCCAATGTTTTTCTCCATGACCATAAGAAGAGATTTACATGAGACAACCCATTGGCTTTGTGGATCCAAAACACCCCACCTATGTTTGTAAACTCCACAAAACCTTATATGGGCTTAAAAAAGCTCCAAGAGCTTGGTTCAAGTGTCTTTGCGACTATCTTCTAACTATTGGATTTCAAGATTCAAAGGTTGATTCCTCTTTATTTGTTAGGCAAACATCATCTGACACCACATTATTGTCTATGTGGATGATATCTTGATCATAGTATCTAATCCTTCTACAATTCAGCATGTCACCACTGGCCTCACTACTAAGTTTCCTCTTAAAGACCTTGGAAAGCCCCACTATTTATTAGGCATTGAAATGCATTAGACGAAGAATGGCTTACACTTGTCTCAACACAAGTACATACAAAATTTGTTGCTTCGTACAAAAATGCATGAATTCAAACGCAGTAATACTCTAATGACAACTTGTACCAAACTCACTTCTTTTTGTG